AATCTGGCAATTATGTGTCTTGGAGTTGCTCTTCTTGAGGAGTATCTTTGTGGCGTTCTCTGTATTTCCTGAATTTGAATGTTGGCCTGCCCTACTAGGTTGGGGAAGTTCTCCTGGATGATATCCTGCAGAGTGTTTTCCAACTTGGTTCCATTTTCCCCCTCACTTTCAGGCACCCCAATCAGACGTAGATTTGGCCTTTTTACATAATCCCATACTTCTTGCAGGCTTTGTTCATTTCTTTTTCTTTAGATTTCTCTTCTCGCTTCATTTCATTCATTTGATCTTCAATCGCTGATACTCTTTCTTCCAGTTGATCGAGTCGGTTACTGAAGCTTGTGCATTTGTCACGTATTTCTTGTGTCATGGTTTTCATCTCTGTCAGTTCGTTTATGGCCTTCTCTGCATTAATTATTCTGGTTATCAATTCTTCCACTCTTTTTTCAAGATTTTTAGTTTCTTTGCGCTGGGTACATAATTCCTCCTTTAGCTCTGAGAAGTTTGATGGACTGAAGCCTTCTTCTCTCATCTCGTCAAAGTCATTCTCCATCCAGCTTTGATCCGTTGCTGGCGATGAGCTGTGTTCCTTTGGAGGGGGAGATGAGCTCTTATTTTTTGAATTTACAGCTTTTCTGCCCTGGTTTTTCCCCATCTTTGTGGTTTTATCTGCCTCTGGTCTTTGATGATGGTGACGTACTGATGGGGTTTTGGTGTGGGTGTCCTTCCTGTTTGTTAGTTTTCCTTCTAACAGTCAGGACCCTCAGCTGTAGGTCTGTTGGAGATTGCTTGAGGTCCACTCCAGACCCTGTTTGCCTGGGTGTCAGCAGCAGAGGCTGCAGAAGATAGAATACTGCTGAACAGCGAGTGTACCTGTCTGATTCTTGCTTTGGAAGCTTCCTCTCAGGGGTGTACTCCACCTTGTGAAGTGTGGGGTGTCGGTCTGCCCCTAGTGGAGGATGTCTCCCAGTTAGGCTACTCAGGGGTCAGGGACCCACTTGAGCAGGCAGTCTGTCGGTTCTCAGATCTCAACCTCCGTGTTGGGAGATCCGCTGCTCTCTTCAAAGCTGTCAGACAGAGTCATTTGCATCTGCAGAGGTTTCTACTGCTTTTTGTTGTTGTTGTTGTTGTTGTTGTTTAGCTGTGCCCTGTCCCCAGAGGTGGAGTCTACAGAGACTGGCAGGCCTCCTTGAGCTGCTGTGAGCTCCACCCAGTTCGATCTTCCCAGGGCTTTGTTTACCTACTTAAGCGTCAGCAATGGTGGGCGCCCCTCCCCCAGCCTCGCTGCTGCCTTGCCGTTAGATCACAGACTGCTGTGCTAGCAATGAGGAAGGCTCCGTGGGCGTGGGACCCTCCCGGCCAGGTGTGGGATATAATTTCCTGGTGTGCTTGTTTGCTTAAAGCGCAGCATTGGGGTGGGAGTTACCCGATTTTCCAGGTGTTGCGTGTCTCAGTTCCCCTGACTAGGAAAAGGGATTCCCTTCCCCCTTGCGCTTCCCAGGTGAGGCGATGCCTCGCCCTGCTTCACCTTTCGCTGGTCAGGCTGCAACAGCTGACTAGAACCAATTGTCTGGCAGTCCCTAGTGAGATGAACCCAGTACCTCAGTTGAAAATGCAGAAATCATCTGTCTTCTGTGTCGCTCGCGCTGGGAGCTGGAGACTGGAGCTGTTCCTATTTGGCCATCTTGCTCCACCCCCCCATGAGTAAGTTCTTTAGTGGGGATCTGTGAGACCTTGGTGCACCCATCACCCAAGCAGTATACACTGCACCATATTTGTTGTCTTTTATCACTTGCCCAACCCCCCACTCTTCCCCTCAAGTCCCCAAAGTCTATTGTATCATTCTTATGCCTTTATGTCCTCATAGCTTAGGTCCCACTTATCAGTGGAAACCTGTGATGTTTGGTTTTCCATTTCTGAGTTACTGCACTTAAAATAATAATCTCCAGTCTCATCCAGGTCATTGCAAATGCTGTTAACTCATTCCTTTTTATGGCTGAGTAGTATTCCAACGTGTATATATATACCACAGTTTCTTTATCCACTCATTGATTAACGGGCATTTGGGTTGGTTCCATGATTTTGCTATTGTGACTTGTGCTGCTATAAACATGTGTGTATAAGGAACTTTTTCAAATAATGACTTCTTTTCCTCTGGGTAGATACCCAGGAGTGAAATTGCTGGATCAAATGGTAGTTCTACTTTTAGTTCTTTAAGGAATCTCCCCACTGTTTTCCATAGTGGCTGTACTAGTTTACATTCCCACCAGCATTGTAGAAGTGTTCCCTGATCACTGCATCCCCGCCAACATCTACTGTTTTTTGATTCTTTGATTATGGCCATTCTCACAGGAGTAAGGTGGTATCACATTGTGGTTTTGATTTGCATATCCCTGATCATTAGTGATGTTGAACATTTTTTCCTATGTTTGTTGGCCATATGAAGAATTCTTCTTCTAAGAATTGTCTACTCATTTCCTTAGCCCACTTTTTGATGGGATTGATTGTTTTTTTTTTCTTACTCATTTGAGTTTGTTGTAGATTCTGGATATTAGTCCTTTGTCAGATGTATAGATTGTGAAGATTTTCTCCCACCCTTGTCTGTTTACTTTGCCAACTGTTCCTTTCACCATGCAAAAGCTCTTTAGTTTAATTACGTCCCAGTTATTTATCTTTATTTTTATTGCAATTGCTTTTGGGGTTTTGGTCATGAAATCCTTGCCTAAGCCAATGTCTAGAAGAGTTTTTTCAATGTTATCTTCTAGAATTTTTATAGTTTCAGGTCTTAGGTTTAAGTCTTTAATCCATCTTGAGTTGATTTTTGTATAAAGTGAGAGATGAGAATCCAGTTACATTCTCCAACTTGTGGCTAGCCAGTTATCCCAGCACCATTTGTTGAAAAGGGTGTCCTTTCCCCACTTTATTTTTTTGTTTGCTTTGTCGAAGATCAGTTGGCTGTAAATATTTAGGTTTATTTCTGGGCAGCCTGACATTTTTAATTTCTAAGACTTCTAGCTAGTTCTTTACTACATTGACTTTTTCTTGTTCAATCTCTTTTGTTTGTTTCAGTCTTTAAGCTCTCTTTAATTGGAGAGTATCTCTTAATTTATTTCTCTGAGCATCCTAAAAAGACTTAAAAGTTTCTCCCAATCATTGGAATATCATGCAGCTGTTAAAAAGAATAAGGTAGTCCCATGGGTATTAATATCAAATGATCTCTAAACATGTTATTAAGTAAAAAAGGCAAAGTAAATAATAGCATGTGTAAATGCTACCATTTGTATAAAAATGTACATATGTGTGAGTGTGTGTGTGTGTATATATATGTTTGTATATGCAACAATTATCTAGAAAAGACAGCAAGAAATGGGTAACAGTGGTTGCCTCTGGGGAGGGAAACTGGGTGGCTAGGTGAAAGAGGTGGAGATAGACTTACTTTTCACTGTTTACCCTTTTTGTACCTTTGAATTTTGTACTACATGCATCTATTACCTAGTCAAAAATAAATACATAACATAATTTATTTTTAAAAATAAAGTCTTTGTTGAACTGCTCCATAAAATTAATTTCATCCAGAGAAATTAATGTTTTTGGTGGTTGATTTTGTTATGATGTTAACATTATATGTCTTTATAAATTTTAGAATTTGAGTTATAGGTTTCTTTTGAGTAGAAAAGGTTTTTAATTTCTCTCTCCTCCTATTTAATGGTTTCAGAGTTTCTCCCACTTGGCCATCTGGGCCCCCAGTCCACAACTAGGCCTTATAATGACATTTCGGGGCTCCAGTTTAATAATGATATTGGAAATATCATACATACACATTCAGTTACTGACTCAGCAAGTGGCTTCATTCAGTAGCTATTGATGAGGCTGTGTCTTTATCAGCTAAAACCTATAGTCTCTGGTAGTGAATAGCTTTTTTCTCTTTTCAGCCTCTCATAAATAAGACGTATATTTTAACCAAACCCGGGCTTCATGTAGTGATTCTGGCTCTGGTTCTTGCCTCGCATGAAACAGTTAAGCACTTTTTCATCCTTTTACCTGACAGGAGCAAAACTACTAGATTTCAGTGCTAGACCGAAAGCCAGCTGTGGTTTCAGCCCTATTTAAAACTTGGTGTCCGTGTTTCATTTCTGGCCCACAAAGATGTTTATGTTGTTCAGAATCTGGCTATATTTTTTGTGCTATTTAACTTATTGTTCTATGTGTTTGGAGCACAGGAGTTACATCACAACACCCAGTATGTTACTTTGGCTAGTAATTTCCATATTTCTTTTTTGAGAAAATTAAGAGTAATAATTATAAAAGTAATATCTCATTACATAGAAAAAATAGAAAATTACTCATATTCCATCCGTTCTAACTACTGTTAGAATTTTAAAATATTTCCTTTTAATCTTTTTCTCCTGTATCATCTCCTATTTGTATAATTTGTATAACAATTTTAAACTGTGTCATGCCAAGCATTTGTCTGTGTTGCTATGTAGTCTCTATGACCATCATTTTAATAACTGAATACTAATCACCAAACTACTCAATTATAATTCACTTCCCACATTATTAAAAATTAAGGAGCTTCCAATGATGCTACAAAGAAATTGTCTATGCATGTACTTTTTCCTCTTAACAGTCTGTATTTGGAGGGTGGAGGGTTGGAAGTGAGAGGTGCTAAGCAATGGGACTGCCATCATTCTACACAAATGATTAGCACAAAGGCATTACAGGACTAGCATAATACATGGCTGAGGTTCATAATGATGACCCTAATATATGAAAAGGTAAAATTATATAGAAGTTAAAAATGTATTTCAGAAACATTCCAAACCAACATAGCTAAGAGTAAGTTTTGTAATTAAAGGATTAGTTTTACAAGGGATTAGATTCACAGTTCACAATGTGGATCATCTAACACTGCTGGATAAGGCATCACATCTTCACTAACTTCTAAAACAGAACATTTTGGGCCACACTGATAAAGTTCACTTTTTCACTATAATACTAACCTGATATTATTTACACAGTCTTCATGAGCTTCAGAAAGTGTTTTTATGTGCTTTGAAGATATAGGGTCAAAAAGCAGAACTTCAGTTTGTTCACAAGCAACTGTCAGCACTGACCTGAAAGCAAATGACACATTTATCTTGTTTAGTTTTCTAGCATTCACTGGTTATTGATGTTCACTCATTTATAATGACACAAGCTATAGGTAAATAACTTTTTTTTTGCCCATGTTAGCAAATGTTTAAAAGATTGATACAGTCTGTGGTTGGCAATAGTAGTAGGAAATGGTACTCTCATACATTATGGTGGAGTGTAATCTGGTACAGCTTATATTTGGACAGCACCTCTAAAGTATCAGAATTTAAAATGGGCATATGTTTTGACTCAGCAATTTTTTCTGGTAATTTAATCTAGAGAACTAATCACTTACAAATACCAAGAGACATATAAAGATATGCTTCATTGTAAAAAGGAGAAATTTCAAGTATCTTCAATGTACATGACAGAGGGAATGACTGATTATACAAGCCATGGTACACAATACTTTGAAATACTGTAGAGAAGTTAAAAAGAAAGGGGTGGCTTTATATGAATATGAAAGAACTCAAAAACATATTTTTAAATAAAAAAGGTGGTTGCCAAAAAATGTGCATTGATGAGACAACTTAGGGGAAAAATCATATACAACCAAATTATATATTTCTTCATCACTATCAATAAAATGCACTGGAAAATAGTTGGCATATAACCTATCAGACCAGTTAAACATCGTCAAACTTATTGGTCTTTTCATTCATGGTTTTTTAGGTTTGTCTCTTGTTTCAGGCCTTCCCCACTGCAAAGTTATATTTTTATAAAACTTGTATAAACCTCATTTTGATTTGTGAAAGTCTATTGTATTTTATTTATTTTGATTAAGTATTAGTTTTTTGTGGGTGCTGCTCTTTCAGATTCATTTCATTTCTAGCAAATGAAATCCTGAGTATTTTATACAACTAAGATGAATGTACATAAGATAGAATTTTAAATAGCCAAAAACTTTTCTATTAGGAACAAACTTTTTAGCTAAAGTGGGAGATTAAAAAACAACTGTTAAACTGAAATCTTGGCTGGGTGCAGTGGCTCACGCCTGTAATCCCAGCACTTTGGGAGGCCGAGGTGGGCGGATCACAAGGTCAAGAGTTTGAGACCAGCCTGGCCAACATAGTGAAACCCTGTCGCTACTAAAAATTCAAAAAAAGTTAGTCAGGCGTGGTGGTGGGCGCCTGTAGTCCCAGCTACTTGGGAGGCTGAGGCAGGAGAATCACTTGAACCCAGGAGGTAGAGGTTGCAGTGAGCCAAGATTGTGCTACTGCGCTCCAGCCTAAGTGACAGAGTAAGACTCTGTCTCAAAAAAAAAAAAGTTGAAATCTTTTCTCTATTTAGTAATCATGGACTTGTCTGCATAAACCCTTTTTTAAGACATTTGAACTTCAAAGTTTAATAATATCTGAAATTTTTTATGCTAGTCATTGGGAGTAAAAATATTCAAATTAATATTTGTAATTGTTGAAGACATATAAATAGCTATTTCTTTTTGTAAGTCAGAAGAACCCTGAAATGAAATTTTTCCCTTTTGTGCATAAGTAGTGAATCAATGATTCTGGGAAACTTTTTTTTTTTTGGTGGAGATGGGATCGCACTACCGTTGCTCAGGCTGGTCTCAAATTCCTGGCCTCAAGTGATCCTCCCACATCAGCCTCCCAAAACTCTGGGATTACAGGCGTAAGCCACCAGTCCCAGACTCTGGGAGATTCTTTTTTTCTGAGACAAAGTCTTGCTCTGTCACCCAGGCTGAAGTGCAGTGGCACGATCTCAGTTCACTGCAACCTCTGCCTCCCTGGTTCAAGCGATTCTCCTACCTCAGCCTCCTGAGTAACTGGGATTACAGGCACCGCCACCACACCCAACTAATTTTTGTATTTTTAATGGAGACAGGGTTTCACCATGTTGCCCTGGCTGGTCTCAAACCTCAAGTGATCCTCCTGCCTCAGCCTTCCAAAGTGCTGGGATTATAGATGTGAGCCACCACACAAAGCCAACCTCTGGGAGATTCTTAATCTTGAACATTGTATAAAAGAGATCTATAAAACTGTTAGTTATTGTTTTGTTTGAATCAAACTATAGTGTATTTTTGTACATGGTATGATATGTATCTTTTAAAAGATACGTATTTGTTTAAAAAATACATATTGCTTTGTTTATTGCTGGTATACAATTTGTCCCAATATCAACGCTGATCTTATTTACATTGGTTTGTAATGCCATCTTTACTACATACAAGTTTTGTTCTTGGACTCTATATTGGTATTCTTTGCAACACCACACTATCTTAATTTCTACAAGGTTTATGGTATATTTGTTACATGGCAAAGCAAGACTCCCTCATTTGCTTTACAAACACTTTTTCTTGGCTAATGCTATGCTTTCTCTTCAAGTAAATTTTATATATACCATGTCAAGTTCTGCTAAAATATTTTGTTGAAATTTTATTGAAATGCACTGACTTTACAGATTACTTGGGTAGAATTTATATGATACAAGTTTGATTTACCTTATACAGTAGTATGCACATTTTCCCACACATTAAAGATTTTCTTAGAGTATCTGAGCAAATCTTGGACTTTTGACCATCCTTATACACTTAGAATCAACGTATCAATTTATGTATACACACACACACACACACACACACACACACCAGGTGCAGATGTTAATTGAGATTATATTAAATCTATTAATACCAAAAAGTTGTGTTGTTTTTTTTTTGAGACGGAGTTTTGCTCTTGTTGCCCAAGCTGCAGTGCAGTGGCATGATCTCAGCTCACTGCACCCTCTGCCTCCTGGGTTCAAGCCATTCTCCTGCCTCAGCCTCCCAAGTAGCTGGGATTACAGGCATGTGCCACCATGCCCAGCTAATTTTTTGTATTTTTAGTAGAAATGGGGTTTCACCATGTTAGCCAGGCTGGTCTCAAACTCCTTACCTCAGGTGATTCACCCACCTCGGCCTCCCAAAGTGCTGGGATTATAGGCGTGAGCCACCGCGCCTGGTCCAAAAAGTTGTAATGGAACTGCTATCTTGACAATATGGAATCTTCCAATCCATGAACTTAATATATCTCCATTTATTTAAATCTTCTGTAATTCTCTCAATAAAATTGTATAGTTTCCTCCATATAGCCCATGCCTACCTTCTGTTGAACTTATTTCTGGGAACTTGATTTTTTAAAAATATATTTGAATAAATGTTCTTTTAAACTTTTTGCTGATGCTGGACACAGTGGCTTATTCTTGTTATCCCAGAATTTTGGGAGACCAAGGAGGAAAGATTACTTGAGCTCAGGAGTTTGAGACCAGCCTGTGCAACACAGTGAGACCTCGTCTCTACAAAAAATTTAAAAATTAGCCAGGCATGGTGGTGCACACCTGTAGTCCCAGCTATTTGGGTGGCTGAGGTGGGAGGATCAGCTGAGTCAGGGAGGTTGAGGATGTAGTGAGCTATGATCATGCCACTGCACCCCTGCCTGGCTGACCGAGACCCTGTCTCAAAAAAAATTTTTTTTTGACTTTGCTTATTGCTGGTATACAGAAATGTAACTGATTTTTTAACACTGATTATTTATCCATCAGTCATACTATTCTATTATTTGGGGGGTTTGGTTGATAATACCATCTAAAAATAATTGCTTTGTTCTTTGTTTTGTTGTTTGTTTGTTTGTTTGTTTGGAGACAGCGTTCCACACTTGTTGCCCAGGCTGGAGTGCAGTGGCGTGATCTCAGCTCACTGCAACCTCTGCCTCCCAGGTTCAAGTGATTCTCCTGCCACAGCCTCCCGAGTAGCTGGGATTACAGGGTTTTTTGTATTTTTAGTAGAGATGGGGGTTTCACCATGTTGGCCAGGCTGGTCTCGAACTGCTGACCTCAGGTGATCCACCCGCCTCGGCCCCCCAAAGTGCTGGGATTACAGGCATAAGCCACCATGCCCTGCCTGTTCTTCTTTTTAAAAACCTGTTTCCTTCTCTTTTTCCTTGTTATACTGACTAGGACTTTCAGAACAATGTTGAATAGAAATGTTAATAGCAGGCATTCATCTTTTTCCTGATCTTTAAGAATATATTCAACATTTCATCATTAAGTACAATGTTTGCTGTAGGTTTTTTGGGCAGATTCCTACTATTAGATTAAGGAAAGTTCTGTTTCAATTTTGCTGGCTTTCTTTTCATGAATATATGTCAAACTGTATGAGAGATTTTTCAGCATTTATTGAGATATTCCTATATTTTTCCTTTCATATATTAATGTAGTTGTTTACATTACTTTACTTTCTAATTTCAAATCAGTCTTTTATTTTTACCTCATTGCTAGATTCAGTTGACTAATACTTTGTTTATGATTTTTCTATCTTTATTCTTCAGTGAAATTGTATGGTAATTTTGCTTTCTTGTGCTATTCATGTCAGATTTTGGTATAACGTGTATGCTAACATCACAGAATGAGTTAAGATTGGCCCTTGTTATTTTATACACTGGAATAGTTTACGTAAATTGGGATTATTTATTTCTTGTAAATTTGGTAGTACTAGTCTGTAAAGCCATATAGACCTAACTACTGATGCAGTATTATTGGTTACAGTACTACTTGGGCTTTCTAATCTTTTACTAATGTCAGTTTTGGTAATTTCTACTTTTCTAGGAATTAGCCTATTTCATTGAACTTGAGAATTTTATTGGCATGAGGTTGTTCACAATATCTTCTGTTTCTATTTTTAAACTTTAATGGCCAGATACAGGGGCTCTCACCTATAATTCCAGCACTTTGGGTGGCTGAGGCAGGAGGATCACTTGAGCCCAGGAGTTTGAGACCAGCCTGGCAACACTGCAAGACCCTGTCTCTTAAAAAAAAAAAAAAAAAAAAATTGAAGGCTGGGCGCGGTGGCTCACGCCTGTAACCCCAGCACTTTGGGAGGCCAAGGCGGGCGGATCACAAGGTCAGGAGTTTGAGACCAGGCTGGCCAACATGGTGAAACCCCATGTCTACTAAAAATACAAAAAAAAAAAAAAAAAAAAAAAGGCTGGCG